AAACAAACTACACTACCTCTCTTAATGAATTTCCTCTCTAATTAGTTGCTTTCAGAATAAAGCCGAATCAGGAGTGCCCAGAGAGTGCGAGCATGTCTTTCGTCTGTCTCTGCAGTTTCCTGTCTGTCTGTCTCTGCAGTTTCCTGCCGGCGCTATTCGAACCGTTGTTCGCTGCAGATTCTGGGGCGTTACAGGGAGGCTGGGTTTAGTGCGGCGCCAGCCTGCTTTCCACCAATTGCTGTCGCTTGCTCGTTTCGACGATTGGTGGAGAGCAGGTTGGCGCCGCACTAAATTCAGCCCCCTGACACAGTACAGCACCCGCAGCGAACAAGACCATACGATGAACAGTGCTGATACCTCATAGAGCTGTCTCGCGGCTTCTTCGTCCGTGCTCGGTACTTTCTTCAGAAATTTACAGGCTTCCTGAAAAAGAGAACAATATTCACTTATTGATTTACGGAACTATGGTAAGCACGGTTTTTTAAATAGATGGGCTCGTTCTGGCTGAAAATTGTTACCTTTACAGGCCATCCCGGTAAGGGCGCAAGAAATTCGGTTGGATAGGGATAGTTCACCATCGCCATGCTTTCGAAAACCTCACGAATAAACGAGGCAAGGAAGTTGTAATCATCACTGGATGACATGCGAGATTTCTCGTCCAGATGGAACAGTTCATTCAGATAGGCACGGCCGTCCTCTGAAACATAGATCATGTTAGAATCACTGACAAACAAAAATAATCTTTTATGATTGTGTGATTGGTGCTCTCTAAGTGGTGGTCTCCCTAAATTTCGTTGTGACGATGAAGCCTCTACAAAAGAAGAAATGAGGAGGGGGATTGAAAAGGAGAAGTGTGTTCACCTGCCCGAGTTAAAGGCAGAGAGTACGAGAATTCAGCCACCCCTATACGTTAATATGCCTGGTAGAAAGGGAAGTGCCAACTGCCTATTAATATGCCTGGTAGAAAGGGAAGTAAGATCTCTAGCAGAAGATGCGTTGCGCTGCTTGTTTTGCTTTACAATAGAGGGGCTCAACAAGGCTCTAACAGGGCTCAACGGGGCTCCCACTCTGCGGGTCCCACCAACAGGCTGCGCCTCCACCCTCAAACGATCGTGTAAGCCACTGATCTCTACCTGCCTTGGTTCTGTAGAGAGATTGAGCGCGGCGCCTATGCTGGCGTGGTAGGCATGAAAGCACTTAACTTGTCTTCTTAGCAGAACCATGGGGCCTAATGAGGTTCATTCGGCTAAGTTTGGTATTTTTCATTCTTTTTTCCCCACTACTGCACCATTTAGCATCCATGCGCTCATTTTGCATCGGCAGCTGATCTACCGAACCCACTACCTTCGATGCAACAGTCCGCTCCAACTCCTGTGCCTTATTTGTTGCCGGAGGGCAGGTTGTGGGACTTGTACAAAATTATGCAAGCATTCCGATCGAAAAGAACACGACACCGTACCTTTTGCGGCCAGACTCTTCAAAGCTCGCCATCCTTTCTCGATAGCTTTGCGGCTACAGCCAGCTCCCAGGAATGAGCGAGTTACAATCTGGAAAGTGGGAAGTGTGACAAATCTAGTTTTTGCTTGGAACATTAATCCCTAAGCGTTAATCAGTCCCTTCATAGGATGCGCCACGAATTCAGCTTCCATTCGAGACCGTAGTGCTATTTGGTTGCTCGTTTGGCACGTACAAGCAGTTTCAGGGAACCACTGAACAATGTGCAGGTTTCATCTCTTGAACGAATCGTAACGCTCAACCAGCCCTAGAGGAATAGAAGGACCTGTTCAGCTTGCAAAGTCTTGAACATCTGCATTGTCGGTCTATATGTGTGGTTGGTCCACTTTCCGCTGTCATGAATTGAAATCATATCTATTTAATGACCTCGCTGCCACAAAGGCGGTGACCGGTCCAAGACGCGTGCGATCGCGGCGCGGTTCATTCTACAGATCTATTTAACACAGTGCGACAAAACGAACTAAAACTAAGTACCTTAGCGTAGATATCTTCTGGAACATGCGAGTCGACGAACCAGAACACTGGTGCTGCACGCCTGCAATTCGCCCTGAAGTAGAGAATGTACTTAGCTTGAACTGATCGATAGTTAATCAATAAAAATTGTTCAATACAAGAGTCGATAAGACGGGGTAAGAGCGATAGCACGAACCCAGCAACTTTGTGTGGATATTTGATTCGGATCCATGCGGCCAACATCCCACCGTATGAACCGCCGAAAGCGATCACGGGAGAATTTTCGGCACCAGGTATTCTCTGTAAAAAAATCAGTAAGTAATCCTAATTCGACTGGTTTCCCCAGGTTGCGCCATGCACTTCAACTACTCAGGAGGTTACCAACGAGCAAGGCCATGAAACACAAGACCATGATGCGCCGCTGATCGTTGTCGGGGCGTATTTCCACTTTGTCGGGCGCTGCCAACCATGATAAACTTTACCTCCGTCTAAGATAATCAATGACAGCACAAAACGGCAAAGGCGCTTGTTCTGCAGCTGAAGAATCCTAGATGATCAGTAGGTATTGTAACTGGTTGTGCCATATGGTTGTGTCTTTCCGTAGAATCGATGCTCGGCGAAAACCACAGCGGCGTGGAATTCCGGTGCTATGTCCCACATAAAACCCTGAAAAGTTGAACATTCGCGTGAGATATCGAAATCGACTGCCTACCAGGATTTAGCTACTGGGCTTCCACTTACGATGAGCTCATTCTGTGCCCATTCGTGTGAGGCCTTCGGCCAAGAGCTAGCTAATGTGTAATCAAGGGTGCCTAAGGTGATGGTAGGAGCAGTTGAGCGAGGCAAGGCCCTACACCCACTTTGTGCTCGCAGGTTCCCCACTTGCACTGGTAGGTGTCATTCGAATAGGTGCGCGCTAGAATTTGCTGTTTTAGAACCCTCCCCCGAACCAAATTGTGTCTCTCGTCTGCGCGTCCCTGTGGTCTCCCTTCGCCACATAATCGCTCAACACGTTCCTGCCAGCCTGGTGTTAGGGTTGTAATCGACAGTTTCGCCTGCCGATCTCCATCACAATTAGCCAATTAGCGCTCATAAATTCGTATGTGAGTATCAGTAGCCACGACTTGCAGACGCAGAAGGTGTCTCTAGGCTAGTGTGCTGAACGCTTCCGCAAATACCCTAGTGAAATAGAAAAGGGGATTGTTGCCTGCGGTGCCACTAACTGCTCCCTTTTTCCCTACGCCAATTCAGCTCAGATATTCTAGACAAGAACGGGCCTGTGCCTATAACCACTCTGCTCAAGCATTCATGACTGATGACGAAGCCCTGTGCGCGCCTGGTTAGTTAGAATTCAGTCTATATGCACTTGGGCGCGGCAAGGATTTGAAAGTTTTTTTTTGTGTTATCGGACAAACTGACCGTGTTTTCAGCGAATCCCTCCAGTTTGCCTTCATTTCCTGTGTAGAAGAATATCGGGCCACCTTCTTCATAACTGTCAGTATTGGATGAAATATCTTAAAAACTCAATCTCGATTACAGAAATTGTCAAAGAACAATAAAGTCTGTGAAAAAATGGCCTTTCAGAACCACAACCAACCGCAGCTTGAACTGGTCCCTGTTGCCGAAGGAGAAGTGATCTAGAGGCACTGAGTCGAGCCACTCTTCAGACCATTTATACGGTGATTTCTTAGCGGCTTCTAATCGATTGATGGCGTCTCCATGTAGGACGTCGGAGTCGCGGATTGTGCATAAAGGCCTCGCCAATTACGCAAGTCAACAAGAAGAGAATTAGCATTCTGCAAACATTAATATCGGGCAACAGCTACAGCTGGTTCGACAAAACAATTCCCATGTCAAGACTCTGCGGTTGCGTTGCGGTCCGACGCACCCCAACCCACCTACGGAGAGGGGGCCCGCACTGGTCAGAGTTGCTGCAGCGCCAATGCGGAGTTGCTTGGACGCGCTAATGGGATGGGGGCTAACTTCTTGGAAAATGAAACGAGAAACGAGAAAGACTGCACCAAGAAGGAAACCGAAATAGTCTGAGTGATTCCTCCTGGACTCTAGTTAGGAATGAACTCCTAATTCAAAATTTTGAAAGACTTATGCATGAAAAGGAAGCGTCGGAAGGTAATGCACTAAATTATTGTAAGGTCTGCACCGCATTTTTTTCCCGGCTGATCTACTACCAATCTATCCGCTACAGAAGGATGGGAGGTTAGTCCGGAATAGCTGAGCGGAAATTCGTCCACAGTACTGTGCACCTTATAAGCTTTTCCATAACACCACCGACTCCTCCCCATTTACACCTAGTTGGACAAAAAACACAATCTCGACAGCAGATTTGTACACCGATTTCTAGAGAGAAGGGAATCCATATGGCACACGCGTAGTGTTTCTATACAGTTGCCTTTTTAACAATGTTATACTGTTGGTAATTTTGCGTTGTAGTCAGCATTACCCGATGTTCTATGGGGAGGATCCTTGGCGTTATCGATACAGCAAAGCGCAAATTTGGAATCTGAGCAGCGTTCGAGACTCGCGACGCAGCGCCCTTGGTCGCGTTTTTCGCGCGTGATCGGCATGCGCATGCTAATCGTACTGCATCGATCACGTCGAAACGCGCCGATGAAGCGCTCGGCCGTGCGCGACGTCAGAACGCTGCCCTGACAATTCTCAGTCTTCACCAACGCGTCAGCGGATCAAGATCATGTCTTTGCCAAATGAATTGCGATCAAGCTGTTCGGGCACTGGCCGCAATTTCATATGCCGTCGTTACTAGACAGATAAATTCCCTTGCCACCTATACAAGCATATTAGACAGTCACCGCTTCCTCCCTTGTGGAAAGACCCACAAAGGAACTGAGATGGCTTTGTGTCCATTGAGTGAACAGCGTTTTCCGAAGTACTCTGGCCTCGCAACAAGGGCAAAGGAAGTCTATCTATTTATTTTGATTTATTATACTTTACGAATGGATGCTGGCGCCTTTACAGCAATTCGAGCGTCAACGGACCGCCAGGGTATACAGGCTATTCTAAGAATTCCACACAACTACCAAGGAACATGAGTGAGACATGAAAATAGAAAGAGGACATTGCAATCTTTCTTCAGGAGAAGGAGTATCTTTCTCCAACACTCTCTTCCTCCCTCCACGTGCCACTAATTGGAACCTTAACTAAGAAGGAGATGAAGGAAGGAAAATTACACATTATTTTTAGATATGTTTAGAAAAAGATTACTGGATGCATCACTATGACTGGGAAGAACAGAGACCAGTATTCTGAGCAGACAAAATTATCCAAGTGTCCCGGTCGATGACCGCTGGCGGCATTGATTGACCCGACCGCTGACGATAACAGTTGGCGGTTGGTTTCAGCAGTTCATTATCCCTGCTGAAAGTCTTTCATGTGTTAGAAATAGGCACATAGAGGTGCTAATTTCGGCGTCGGATGGGGCATTTGGAAGTTTGGTCTGGAAGGCTGAAATCTAGTATCATCTCAAAGCAAGGAACGAATACCAGAACTATGTGGTCACTTGACGATGTAGCTCCTAAACTCCTTAGATTTAGCCAAAAGCACTCATTTCCATTTTCCAAGTAGGACTACCGTAGGAATACGGTAATCCTTTTGCACAACGAGTCTTCAAGTTGCCCCTTCCGGATATCAGTACTAAGTGACTGCGCTGAGTTGACGGTTTAAGCTTCGGGATGGCTCCTGGAGAACTGGACAACCATTTGCAAACTCCTTCCACAGTCGAAGCGATGAGGTTCGCTCGTGAGCACTTTCTATGAATTGATCGTTGTGAAGGGCAAACCCCATGGCTAATTCCTCGATATTACAGACTCCTCTCTTATGGACAGTGATGGAGAAGTAGCAAGTGGCGCCACTTAGCACGGAATCTATGTCTATAGATTGTTTTTCGAATCCACCAAACTCCTTCAGTCCATCTGGAGTCGTTTACCGACTTCAGCTAGCAGCGAATACTGGATCATGACTAAAAAGCTCGAGGCAGCTGCAAACCCCAGAGCACAGAGAAGTCTTCCGAATTGTATGTGGACGCCACCTTCATTATGCCGCGTGCCGTTGCGCCTAGGTATTTTAAACTACAGCGGTAGGGACATCGGATTACTGCACAGCTAGGGAAAATCTCACTTCAGAGACGGGAAGTACATGTACAGAATGAATCCACAGGCAAACACATCTTTCACTCTGCACAGGAGAGGAATGCTCGGCGCATATCAAACATTTTTATTCAGTGACAACTCTTCATCTTAACAGCATTTGTAAGTGAAATAGAACAATCACAATACGAATGAAAAGCGGGATATGTTACAGAGATAATATGAGCCTCTATATTTTATGGCTTTGCTAGTTCTACAAAATGGTACCCACAGCTATAATTGTTTACAAATTTCATGAAAAATACAAATTATGATTAGACCTTGAGTGTTTTTCATCGCCTATGCAGACAGTCTCGTTCCTCGGATTTGAACTGGATTTGCATATTTATATGACCGATATCGAAGAATTTCTTTGGTTGTTCACCCGATGACACGTAGTCCTTGGGAATGAAAAATGACACTTTTCGTTGACAGGGCTGAAACATTGGAACATTAGAGTTTAATAACAGTCGCAGAATGGCAAAGGCAAGGCAATTTCCCAAACGAGTGCGAGAGACAATTTGTTGGAGACCGTTGACAGCGAAAACTTGATCAACATAAAAGGATCCAACAGTTTTATTTGGCTTACGTTTCGGCCTTATCGCCTTCGTCAGAGCCTGGAAAAATCAAAGATCAGGGTGAAACTATTTCCAAACATCAACACATCGGCCACAGACCCCCCCCCCGGGTAGCCCATCGTGCTGCGGTGTCATTGAGGCGTGGTGAGTTGAGGTAACTGTACATTTTGATGTGGAGAACCCCCGACTTCGCCGCACGCAACAAACTCTGGAGGGCGGTTGGATAAGCAGCTAAAACCCAAAATGAACAAGAAGGACGAATGCCTAGCCATCACAAACGAGCTCGCCCCGTTTGCTGACCTGTGTGGGCTTCAGTTGCCATCGGCTTCAGGTCGTGGGGTTAGGTCAGCTGAACCCACCCATGGGGAGTCAGTTTAGCGGTGGTCTCGAACAAAAAACCTGCCGTACATTCAAGGTGAGTCATGTTGTGGTTGTAACCTATGACAGGTTTCTGGACCCTTCTGGTCTGGGGTGAACTTACCTGAGGTTTGAAATCTGAGTTTAGGGAAGTCACCCTGATCTTTGATTTTTCCAGGCTCTGACGAAGGCGATAAGGCCGAAACGTAAGCCAAATAAAACTGTTGTATCATCTTGGTTCGGCTACAGTAATATCCTAGACAGAAGCTCACAATATGCCAAGATTCATGGAGGGTCGAACGTGGATGCTTATAAAAGGATCCCTTTTATCAAAACCCAGGTAAGTTCCTACAAAGCTCAAACTCTCCATGCCACTGATGTTGGTTGACTGATTGCGAAGTCGTCTTAAAGGGGCTAGTTCATATCCTGGCCGGCCCCTGCAAGCTACTTTGCAGGCTAAAATGTATGTATTCAAATGCTGTTGTGATTCTAATTGCAGTAGGATGCGCGGCGTTCCTCAATGCCGAGTGTTTTGGTGCTTTGTGCCCTTATTTTCTTTTAGAAAACATGCCATACCGTCAGTGTGTCCGTCGCAGTCGTGATAGATATTCAGTTTGGGGTCGATCGTCATCACTTCCGAGGTGTGACCGAAAAGCAAAAACTGTCCCATTGAGTCCGTTGTACCTTCGGCCATCAAATCATCGAGATCGGGTCCTGAACAGAAAAATAAGAACTCATAAGGCAGAAGATGATGAAAAATAGGAGGTTCCTCTAGGATCATTCTTTCCTATACGCTTCGAATAAAGAATGATATGCGATTTTGCGATCTGCATGTGGAAAGTTTGATCTCGAGAATGGGGCTGTTGGTGCCATGAACGTTAAAGATCCAATCGGTGATAGGTCCCCTCTACGCTATAAACCCCCGTGAATATAAGTCCTGTCCTTTCATTCCTCCACAATGAAACCACAGTGAAGCTGTATATTAGGGGAAGTCATTCAGATCCATCTCTAACACATGAAAATTGAATGGGTGACAGAAACTATGTCTAGGGAAATAGGCGTGCGGTATAGTAGCCCTCAGATTTTCTCGTCGCAAGATGTATGTGCTTCGTTCCCCTGCGAAACACCACTAATTTGGCACACCGCCGCGCGCATCTCCTGCAGGCAGGCGCTGGCCTGGCCTGAAACACTTTGTGATACTACAAGCTGCATTAGACACTCCACCACTTAATTCTTCGCAGTAGCTTTAGGCAAACTGCATCCCTTGGTTTCGTAAACTGTAATCTTACGGGGACCAGTACGCTGCCGAAAGTCTCTTACCGGGAATCATCATCGTAAAGCTTCACTTTGACGTTGGCTAACGGCCGATCTCCACACATCAGCGTCCCTTTCACTCCGGCAGATTGCGTGAAAAGGGTTTGCAAGCTTATCGTGAAACAGAGAGCACGTCAAGAAAAACACATGGCTGAAGCACGCCCATCTGAAGGAATGAAATCTCGAGAGAAATACGACATTTTCTTCTCCACCGAACAGTCCCAAAGCAGTGATCATGTGTTAGAGCATAGTTAAGTGAATTAACAACAGACATTATGTGTGCGTAATGAAACCATTACCATTTTGAATGTTTCCGGATGATTAACTGCTCCGGAATGACCTTCTGAGAAACTATAGACTGAACAAAAGAAGCTAGGAGGAGCCTAACCTTTCCTAAACGAGTACTGTTGAGGAGAAGCTGGCAATAAAGAATGTTTTCCGGGGAGGGAATTTTGAGAAAAAGTAAGCAAGAATCGTGGAGATATGCATGAGGTCGGATGGTTTAGCCTTGCATCTGATTTCATACAGGGAGCTCCCACAAGCCTGGAGTCTGGCTCGATAGAGCTCAGGCCTAGCCATTGAGGTATGCTCAAGTTAGTACGAATAGCCAGTTGATACTATGAGCTGAAAGGCGTAATCTCACGCCCAATTGTGGGACGGAGACAGTCAGTCCCTATGTCTCCTCACAGGATTCGTTCCTGCGTGTACCCCGCCTTAGAGGAAGAGCCCTCATGTCTCTGCCAATATGATCAGCATATACTGTCATATTGTTGGAGACGCCTTAAGGCAGTTGGCACGATAAATCCCCCAAGACGACTAGGATCAGTACTCCTGGCAGGGAAGAATTCCGCGACCCTGGGCAGAGCGCTGCATAGCGCGGTTTTTCCCGCAGCGAAGGTGCCCTTCTAACGGGCCCTACAAGCCACAACATTACCGACCCAAACGCCCACCACGCCCGCCCGCCCACAAATGGACGACCGTTCCTGACGCTCGTATTCATTCATTTGCTAAGCAAATTATGAAGCGAAGGGATTGGTTCACTGAAAGCGGCCGTAGCCCTGCCAGCATATATGGGTACCACATATGCAGCCCGCTTTCTTCGGAAGCGGTGATTGTAAGATTCACCTACGGGATGCCTACGGGAAACTCGTCCGAAATCGATTTACAAGTCACTGAGAACGGAGGCTTTTTCTTCGCAGGATTTTGACCGTTTCACTCCGTTCTTTCGCCATTTCCCCACTATACAGCGCCCTACTAGCATTTTAGGCTAAGTAGGAAACCATCGTGCCAACTGCCTTTAAGGGATGCCACGATTCACCGGAACTCGTGCACGAAAAAAATCAACTCGTACCACGTTTATGCAACTTTTCGCATGAGATAAAGGCGACGGAGTGAGAACTCATCCAAGTACGATCTCATTGCGTCTTATGCACGTCCAAGCTCACTTTAGCATGGGATTCTGAATAATTGGAGCATCCTGGAAGAATTCTTCTGTTTTGCCCCTCACTACCGTATCACTTACCACCTTGTCAAGAGTAAACGAGTCCCACTAAAAACCATTTTTGATCGTGGGACGTGCCCTTGAAAACGTCGCGGTTGTAAGTTGCATTTCGATAGCACAAGCGATAACGCTGTAAAGTGCTTTAGAAAAGGGCCGAAATATTGCACACCTTTGTTTCTCATTGAGACGAATTGGGTTGCGCTGGCATTCTCGCGATAGACTACGTCTTTAAGGCACGCCTGCATTGAAAAATAGTGAGTGTGTGGCTCAGCTGATGACGAAGTGATGAATAACATAAAAATAAAGGGAAGAAGCGCAACCATTCCACCTCGAATGCCCATGTGGAGCAGCACGCTGAACCGCGCTTGTAGTGCACAAAATGAAGAAAGGGTGGGGGCGGACGAGTTCTCACTATTGGTGTCGGTTCCTTCCTCTTCACGCTCTCTTTCCCCTTTCATAATTGACTTATCAGTGAATGAAAAAGCAAGAAAAAGTAGATGAAAACGCTCCAGATGGGATTTGTCTAACTTTCAGCATTAGGTGAGGAAGGGGGAGGAAGCATAGAATCGCACAAGTATTCAGAGTATATATGTTGTAGGGTGATGCCAAAATGTAGAACGTGAGTTGAGTCACTGCACTCTGGCGTATTAAGGGTGCGTTCATACTTTGCGACTTGAGTTATATCACGATTTCAAACTGGAGCCAATGCTACCGCGCTCCGCAGCTAATTATTGGACTGTACGAAACTGTCACAAAAGGTTCCGTCCTGAATGTGACAGCAGTGCAACAAACCAACGACTTCTTTTGGATTCATAAAATGAAACTCTTCTAAGTCGCTT